ACTGCTGATACTAGAAAAATAACTTTATTTAAAATTATTATGTATAAACTAAAGCAAATTTTCAGGTGTAGTTTTGATCACCGTAATTTTGTTTTAATTAAATTGTTCTTCAACAATCCCACTGATTTCACAAACCTGTGAAATCAAACAGAAAAACACAGAAATTAGGGCTAAAATTTAATGTATGCAAAAATAGGATAAAAGGGAAAATTAATCGTTTATTATGTTTGCATTTTGTAAAAGTTTTCCATAATGCTGAACTCACAGTTAAATAAGCCACATTGATCAGTATTTTGATGAATCCTGATTTGTTTTTATTTCTAAAATATTCAGAAGCAAATCACAGCTTCTTTAGTTATATTATTTGTTCCAACTGTTCAGTGTTTTGGAGGGTTTTTCTGCTGCTTCTTTTTCAATAGTAGTAATAGAGTGCAAAAAATGACCGGTGTTGCAAAAAGCATGAAACATAACAGGCAACTGTGATGAATCAGATCAGCTGAGATAGCAATGTTTTCATTTCTGACTGTGTTCAGGTAAAGCAAAATGGAAATCTAGCTTTTACAAATATTTACATATGCATATTGAAATAGATTGTTTCAGAAACATTGCTGACTGTAACACAACCTGCCCCCCCCCAGCTGTATATAAAAGCTGTAATGTTGCAACTGGACCTATTACATAGATCCAGTTACAGAACCGGGGAATAAACACGACAACCACATTTAATTACACAGCTGAATGCATAAAGGTCTGTATGTTACCTTAGAAGCCTTCACCTTGCCATTTTTAAACACTGAAGGAAATCAGGCACAGCAGCTTCACGTTTATTCACTCCTTTTGAACATATAAATATGCAAGCCCTCTTTGGGAGATTAAAGAAACTTGGCAGGAACAAACTATTCCCATTATCTCCAGCTAATCAATTAAATACAATTGGAACAAGATCTTTAAGCTTCACTTTGCCAGGTGATAAGCCTGGACTTTACATCTGATACTGTACTGATATTCAACAGAGCAAGGTACATACCATGAAAACCTCTGCATCAAAAAAAAAGAAATAAAGCCATGGAAATCTTAGCAAGAGTTTTATCCTTTATTAACCTTATATGTATTTTTTTGTCATTTATACCTAATGTTTAACAACTGTTTTCCTTGGAGGCGCTTCATTTAGCATTGTCACAGTTTGATCTTTAAGTAATAAATTTGTCTTAAATGGGGAAAAAGAAAAGCAAATATATGTAAGCCTGTTTCATTTGCAGATTCTTCTCGTGACTGTTACCCACAAAAACTCCAGGGACTGTGGTCTTCTTAGCAGCAGAAGGAAATGGGATGCCAGCCAGAAAGTATATTCCGTGCTACCCATATCCATTACGGAATTCTTCACTGATGAGAAATGATATTAGCAAGATCAAATCAACTTTCAGCTGACATGAGATAGAGAAGCGTCCAGATGCAAGAGACGAAGGACACCTTGAAAGAGTGATGGGATTCAGTGTACCTGTCTCAGTCCCCCAGTAAGACAGATCTCTAGCTGTCCTCTGAGGTCCCTTTGTTTTTCTCCTTACTTCAGAGAACAAATAGCCTGGACTAGACTCTCTCACTTTTATATAGCTGAAGGTACCCTGACAGGCTGATTTCTCCAATATAAAAGGGAATGACAATAACTTTAAAGTAGTTAATACAAGCAGGAAACCACCACTGACTTACTTCGGGAAATTAACTGAAAAACTGCAGCCATTTTAAATTCAGTGAAATCACACCAGAAAGAGATACAGATAGACATTAGAATCGGGGCCCAGACTCATGACACGTTTTAGAAACATTAACTGGTGATTTCTCATAGCTTTGCTGTCGGTTATCACATTTTACCATCACACTTCGCAGATCAGGGAAATAAGACATGGAGAAAATAAACATTGCCCAGATCCTGCTGTAACGCTCACACTGGCACTACGGATTGCCAAACAAGATTTAACCAAAATGAACAGAAGTCAAATATCAAGGATCAACCCTCCGCTCTTCTCCCTCTCCCCCAGTCTCCACATTCATGGATTTTCTCCCTGACAGGGTCAAGAACAGTCACTGTAATTATGTCACAAAATCTTAACCTTTTCCATTACAGAGCTTTTCCTACTTGAATTTGAAATCCTTCCTCTTCATGATAAAAGAGGAATTTCTACAGTTTTGGCTTAGAATAAATCTCAGCCTTGTAAGACACATTTACAGCAATAGGATCATAAGGAGTGTTAAAAAAAAAAAAAAAAAAAATTAAGAGCTTGGAGAATACTGGGCCAAAGAAAGAAAACAGATTTCTTTCATAGATCCTTCACCTCCCGGTCATTTTTGCACCCTGGGATTACAGTCAAGCATCCTACGTTTTTTCTGGTTTCTGCAGCAATCTGGCCCCTCTGCTGAATCAATCAGTCAGTTGTGGAGCCAAAAGCCTTTCAAGGCCGTATTTAATGCAAAAGGATGTACTACCTGATTGCTCCTCCCTGGGTCTTGCGCTTCATGGGGTCATTTGCATTCAAACAAATTGAGTGAAAAGTAAGTGTAGAACATGACCAATGTGCTTTGGTAGTACTTCAGGGCTACTTTGTGCTCTTTCTTCACTGCTGTAAATGACTACACAAGGCACTGGTGAAAAATGACTGGGTTTGATAGCTCTTGAAAAAATGGACAGGACACATGAAATGGCCATTCTTCTAACTGGAAAGTCTGGACAGCAGTCCCCAAGTCGAACAGTTCATCGATATGCCCCTCTAAGGCCAGACACAGTTCCATAGGATGATTTTGCACCTCACAGTTTTCATAGGGTTATGGTCACTTGTCTTTACTAAAACCCTAGGGGTATTGCTTCATGAGCATTTT